ACCTTGAGTCGTTGTAGACCACGTCCAGCCAGTCCCCCACTTCGCTCTTCACGTCTCCGGGGTTGTGATGGGGGTGGTGGGGTTGATGGGGGCTCCTCAGCATCCCGCCGGGGTACCATCGCTCCGGCCGGACCACGCTGCCCTCGTACGGGTTACATATGAACGCCGTGCCCGCTGCAGACTCGTTCATGCACTGCCTGGAGCCCCAGAACTGCGTGTTGTACCGCTTGCTGAAGGTGTAATTACCGGCCCACGCCGCTCCGGACGCCTCGCTCCCCTCACACTTGACCCGGACGCTGTACTCCTCCGCTGCGTGGTATCCAGCCGGCTCGTCCTCCGCGACCTCCCGAGCTCCGTCGTGGGGGTTGTGGTAAACCCGGCACGGTCTCTCGGTGGCGGGGTGGCCGAAGTGAACCAGGCTGTCGGGGGCGAAGTGACAGGAGGAGGAGGAGGAGGAGGAGACGCGGACCGAGTCCTCAGCCTCGCACGGTGGAAAGTTTTGCCCACTCGCAGACAACGATGTGCGGCCGGAGGAGGTCGAAACCTCCGAACTTTTAAACATGTCCACCGGTTGTTTGTCCCTCTCGGGACACCGGTACTCGCCGACAGCCGGCATCTGAGCTTCGGGACAGCTCAGACTACCGGACGCGTCAGCGGTGAAAAAATAGTCCCCTCCGCTCAGCTGGTCACCCGCAGCGACGCACGCCGGCAGCGCGGCGGCGGCGGCGTCCACGTCGCTCGGCTCCATCAGGGTGAGACCCAGCGACACGGACACGGCTCTGCACAGCTCCCGGGCTGTCTCTGAGATGGTGGCGCAGGCGGAGACGGAGCGAGCGTCGCCCACTCGGCAGTCGAACAGCTCCTCCCGCGGAGCAGCAGCTGCCTGACAGCAGCGTGGCTCCATCGTGTCACAGCCCAGTCCGACAGTCGCTTCACGGTCTGACCCTTTGAGTCTGCAGACACCACTTCCTGTCCAGCTTTTGGTGAAGCGGACCGAACTTTCATCTTCTTCAGCTCTTTGCGCCATGATGTTCAGAGGTCTCGCCTCGTCGCCCGGCTCCGTTTTCCTGACCCCGGGAGGCGAAAAGTTGCCACAAGATAAGTGTCGACGGATTTGGCTCATTTCCCAGACTGAGTTCACTCCAACGGACTTTGCACAAGGAGAGGAGAAAAAAAAGTTGCCCCCAAACAGGTCCTGGTGTAATTGTTGATCCGTTGCTCGCCCGATCAGACTTTGAGCTTTGGATTTAAAAAAAGGGAAAGAAAAATAGTAAAAGTCTTATAGGAGCTGCTGCAAACTCCTCCTAAATCTGAGAGTCAGAGGGGACAAATCTAAAATGTTGCCCTTTGTGCGCTGAAAGATCCATTTGACGAAATTAAAATAGGCAACACTTTATTAGGTGACTACCGTGACAGAGTTTTCCAGTAGACGAAACAAGCCTTCCATTATCTGCGCCTCTCTGCGCCTGCAGTTGTTTTTACATCAGACTGTCAGAGCATCAGTTTTAAAGGCTGCCAAAGCACAGGTGGATTTCTCAGGTTCCTAACAAGGATGAAAAGATAATCTTATTTTAAAAAGATTTAATACAAACTTAATTTTAAAGTTCACTTAACTTGTATTGAGGTCTTTTGATCTGCCCCTTATAAATCATTGATGCCTCATTTATAATGTCCTATAGAGCATGAAACAATACATTCTGATTTCTCAAATACATTTTAGGATATTCTTATAAATAACAGTTTTAACCTAGATGTTTCAACGCTTGGTGGTCATGAAAGAGGTTGAACTCTAAGAAAGCTGCCTATTGCTGGGAGAGAGTAATGCAAAACAACAAACATCTAAAAAGCTTTAGTGTGACCTGCAGCAGTCTGATTTGGTGGTTTCGGCTGGTGTCATATGCTGCACGCATGGGCAAAAGAAGAAAAAAAGCACAAGTGTTTAAAGAAATGCACACACACACAAACACAGACACACACACAAAGTCATAAAAATACAGTGAGGCATTGAAAAAATTTTTTAAACCAGCTTTATTGAACCGTTTTACAAAAGTCTGCACTGAGACACGGTGGAGGTCCTGTCATGATGTGAGCTGTTCTGGTACCAAATGCTTTAAATAACAGCAAGTAGAGGATTTGTGATGATTAATATCTTAATCTGTTTATATCACCTTTTTTTAGATGGAGAAATAAGTTTTAATTTTGACTGTATTGGTGCTAGAGTGGGGCAAAAGCAAAAATTTAAGTGTGGTTCATGCAAACACTAAAAAACGTTTACACTGCTGTYGTGATCAAATAAAAGTTATTCCAGCAAAATGAGATGTTAGCCAGAAGTGCTACAGCTAGCTGCTGCTTGTTCTTGCAGAAAACCCAGGATTCTATGTAAATAACTAGTTCATTCAAAAATGACTCTGATGTAAAAGCAAATTGAGGGGAGGTCAGTTAGTATGTTAAAACTCAACATATTTACATTTAAGTTATTTATTTATGGTCTGAAATAAAACACCTGAGGCCCCCAGCYTTGCTGTTAAAGTAATGATCATGCATGACATGGTTTGCATGACAGTGATTATTCAAGATATCCAAAAGTTGTCGACACAACATGGTGAGGGGTATTTCTTGAGCTATATATAGATGACATTCTGCTCTCTGATGCTGACGTCTTCTTTCAAAATACACTCTATMATTCCGCAGTGGGGATATTAATTTTCCCATCACACGTGGAGCAGTGGTACTCCACTACGGTGGGGGGAGTTGAGAACTTGCTCAAGGGCCCACAGTGGGGTAAATAAGGGTGAAGGCCTTCCCCAACTAAATTATTTGAGTCAGTCAGGGGATTCTAACTACCGACCTGTTTGCATGCTTACATTCTGTGACCTGTGTCACCACTCCCCCAATCTTTTTGCATTGTTGGAACAGGTTCCGTTTTATTTTTTTCAACATGTTTAAATATCAGCTCCTGAACATGCAGCCCTAATGACCCAGAGAGGAAGAAGTTTGTGAATGGATAGATAGACAGATGGATGATGGATGGATGGATGGATGGATGGATGGATGGATGGATGGAGGATGGATGGATGGATGGATGGATGGAGGATGGATGGATGGATGGATGGATGGAGGATGGATGATGAATGGATGGATGGATGGATGGGTAGGTGGATGGATGGATGATGGTGGATGGATGATGGTGGATGGATGGATGATGGATGGATGGATGGATGATGGTGGATGGATGGATGGATCGATGGCTGGATGATGGTGGATGGATGGATGGATGATGGTGGATGGATGGATGGATGGATGGGTGATGGATGGATTGATGGATGGATGGATGGATGGATGGATGGATGGATGGGTAGGTGGATGGATGGATGATGGATGGATGGATGGATGGATTGATGGATGAATGATGGATGGATGGATGATGGATGGATGGATGGATGGATTGATGGATGGTTGAATGGATGGATGGATGGATGGATGGATTGATGGATGGATGGATGGATGGATGGANTGCAATGAGGTCTACTGATGGAAGAGTTCTGATGCTCTAAGCGAGTCTGTGAAGTCCTGCACTGATGACTTGAATCATAATCCACTTATTTAGTTACAGATGCAATATATAGGTGAGATTATTTCATGAATTTATCGTGATAATTCAAAATTTATGTCATGGAGGTATCATCTGATCATAGATCCAGCAGTTTTATTTGGCGTTCACAAAGAGTTATTTGTAATTGTGTAATCTAAAACAAAATTCAATGACTAACTTTGTACTTTTTTTTCTTCTTGGCATGCCTTTTCAGTGTGTTTGGGACTCAAGTTCCACTAATAATTTTGTTGCTTTTCTCGAGGCACAGAGCTGATGTACACTTTCCTGTAGGCTGACAGGGGGACCTTGCAAATGATGTAATCCAGAGAAATATCAGCGTTCTGGGAAAGCTGGTGTCTTTCTTCTCCTTCCCTTTCTATCTTATCATTTTCTTATTTCTTATTGGGGGTCTCATCCTTTACTGTCCTCTCATCATCCAGTCCAGCTCTCTGTTAGATCAGTTCCCCCCCCCACCCCCATACACACACACACACATTCATTTGCACATGCAGCAGTTTTTGTTTTTAGTTTAGCAAGACCGAACTTGAGAACTTGTCCTGGACCCAGCCTACAGGGAAAGTCGGTCCTGTTCCTGCTTTGATTTCTGCGTTCACATCAGACTCTGTCAATGTACGTTTTTCTAATAAGGCTGTTTTACAATGTACATATAAAAAACAAGTTTTGATGTTGTGTTCCAATGATAAACATGTAAGTTATTTACCCAAACTTGTATATTGAACGTATTCAGTCTACATTGTTTACACTCAGATGGTAAAATGGCACTTATGACTTTAGCTCTGTGCTTGAATTACTAAGTGTCAAAGTTCACAATATAACTGATGTATTTAAAGAAATAGCACCTGCCAACATGTCTCTGTGTGCCGATCATGTTTGAATTTAATCTACCAGTCTGTGATATACGTTCAGAGGAGGAAAAGGAGGCAGCAGCATCCCCCAGAACTGAGAGAGAAAATACAWAACAGTCGAATAAAAATGTTATTCATAATAGTGTTATATTTACTTCTTTTTATATATRTAATATTTTAACAGCAAAATTGCCAAATGAGCCTGTTTCATGTTCAAGGACCTGTAGCTYATAAAAAAGTCTCAACCACTTATGTTTAAAATAATAATAATAAAAAATACTTTAATTACATTTAAAGATTTTTTCTAAATACTGTAAAAACTCAAGGATGTAAATACTTAAGAACCGACATGCCTCTAACTAGAGCCAGATGCAAACATCTGTGATTCTCTTCAGCCTCTTGTRTTGATTTAGTGTCATGATGTTGGATCATCAGCTGAGACAAACATATTACCATACWGCAAAAAATAAGAACAGTGATAAAATGTAACCTAAGCAAACATTACAGCTGTAAGCCATTTAAAGCTCAAAAGTCAATTAGGAAAWTTTTAATTCAATCTTAATTTAATTGTTTAAAAAAAGTCTGAACTACGGCAGCTCGTCCAAACTGTTTAGACACCAACACAGTTTTTTGTTTTGTTTTGTTTTGACCCAAATCACAATATTCAAGTTAGAGTTTCATAATGAATATGGGCTTAAGTGCATGTTTTAATTTGAAGTTCTTCACAAACAAAACAGAGTGTTTCTCATTTACAAGCCTAAAATGGAGAGCCTATTTATCGGGAGCATTAATGCAATTACACAAATGAATCATAAATAAAATGTTTACTTTTCAATTGTTTTTTGTTTTTGTTTTTTAGAATAATTTACAGACACCGAAAGCCTCATAACCACAGACCTTTCTGGAGTTTTTATTATTATTATTATGCTTTGCAGACATTTCCTACGTCTGCTTCCAGTTGTTGTTTGATGTGAGGTGGAGGCAGTGATGGAGGGAGACATTAGTCTGCAAAGTTTCACCCAACACATCATCACTAGTTTCTGCCTTTTTCTCCTTCACTCACACAGTTTGTATGGTTGGAGCTTAAAGCACACAGTCAGGTTCCAGGATTAAGGATTGAAGTCAGAGGTAAGAAAACATGTTGTTTTTAAATGCACATTGGTTCATATGTAACCCGTTTCACCATCAGGATGACGGAGAGAAAAYAAGTTATAGGTTAACTGTCTGTTTATCATTGTTTTACATAGTTTGCCTTTTTTTCTTCTTTTTTACCAGACTGCACAAAGTAGAATAAATTAGGTCTACTTTGTTTGTTTATTTAAACAAAAATATATACAATGAACTAAATGAATTTTAAGGTAACTTTCTTAAACATAATTATCTGATGTTCTTTTACAAACAATTCACATTTGGAGTCAACCTAATTCAAGATGGCTGACAGTCAATCAATTGTAAAAGAAMACACAAAGAATGGTTATATTTTGGTAAGTTTTACAGATACTGAGCTCAAATCTGGACTGATAGTAGCTGAGAGTAATCCCCGACACTTACTTGGAGGACTAATAAATTGCACAAGTTCTTTATTCAAAATTTTGCGAATATGTAGAGTTGGCTCTTTCTGTCTGTTAGCAAAATATCTCTTGAACCACTTGATGCAATGAAATAAAATTTTCAGGAAATAATTATTAGACAAACAGTTAAAACTGTTTATCCTTTGGAGCTAACCCAATTTAAAATGAATGCCACAATCAGCTGACAAGTGTAAACACAAAAATAGCAACAGTTTAGTCAGTTTTGCATATTTCTATCTCAAATTTGCAGTGGTAGTAGATGAGGGTTATTCACAACACTTCAGGATGGTTCCCACAGCTATTAAACATTAGAAATGTTTATTACTCAATCGATTTTACAAATTTTGAGCTAAAACATTGCTGTGGTTGATGACAGAGAATCATCATTATAACACAGTCTGAGTGTGACATCACGTTATTGCTTGAGATTGTGCACATTTCAAGGTTTGATTGGAGTGAATATMACTCCATCATTTTTCAGAAGGAGTTTAACCTAAAACTCAGGAATGAAAGGCAAGAAGCATCCCTTCAAGGAATGCCAAAGCTTTCATTTTGATGTGTAAGCATGACTGAAGGCAGGTTCTGACTGCAGCTTTTTCTTGTT